CCCCCCCCCCAGTCTGTGGCACTGTTATAGAAGCATCAGGAGACTAATACAAACCCAAAGCCTTCGATGCCTACCATCCACACATTTAAGATATTTTAATAAGCAAAATTCACACACAATAAAAGGCTCAGATCCCCAGGGCATGAATCAGAGAGCTTTGCCAAATGCCCACAGCACCACCACCGGAGTTTCTCTTTATATCACTTACCATCATGTGGTATTTGTGTGTATTTCTGTCTGTTGCCTGCCGGCTTCCTTCCAGCCCCTCAATGAATGTTAGGTCCTCCAGGGCTGGGCCCCATTCTTGTTCACCACCTCTTCCAGATCCCAGGAAAGTGCCAGGTCCCGGGTATTGTATGAAGATTCAAGATGAAGGGGGGCGGGGTTGATCCCAGGGTGATTCTCAGAGAGAGGGAAGTTGTACCCCTCCCAAGAAGCAGTGGGCCCATCCCTTGAAAGTTCTGGACTAGAATGAATAACTCCATTGCCCTTCTGAAGAGGAAGGACATATTGGGGTAGGAGAATTTGGACAAGAAGAGATCACTGAGACCCCCTGGGGTAACTTGCTAAGCCAGCACCCCCCTCCCCTGCCCCCCCCCCTTAATGAGGCCCAGTGGTTGGGCCCTTTATGAGGCAGGCTTGTGGAGACAGGAACTTGTGAGGGTCAGTGGTCAGAATAGGTGGAGAGTCTCAGAGGAAGGAGCCCCTGGGAGCAGGGCCCCACACGCCATGGCCAGCGTGGTGGTGAAGACGATCTGGCAGTCCAAGGAGATCCATGAGGCTGGGGACCCCCCCGCGGGAGTCGAGAGCCGCTCCCAGATGGTCGCCGAGGCTCCTGGGGGGGTGGCCAGCCCAGCCAAGGGGATCGCGAAGAAAAAGAAGGCCGTGTCGTTCCACGGGTGGGTTTGTTGCACCCTGTCAGGGACATTCTTAGCGTCCAGCACGAGTCCCAGTGTGGGTGCTGGAGAAAGAGGAGGGGAGAAGAGAAGGGGGGAAGGGAGGGAGGGGCAGGCAAGGGGGGCGACTTTAAAGGAAGCAGAAAGTAGGGGGTGAGGTTGGAGTCAGAGTAGGGGATGTGGAAGCAGAGGGGCAGGAGGGGCCACACCCCACTGAGGCTGCACCTTGATCCTGCCTCTCTCCTCTCCAGGGTGGAACCTCGGATGTCCCACGAGCCAATGCACTGGTGCCTGAACCTCAAAAGGTCCTCGGCCTGCACCAACGTGTCCCTGCTCAACCTGGCCGCCGTGGAGACCACCGACTCCTCCGTGACAGACTCTACCACGGAAGACAGTGGCTCACTGGCACTACCCGTGCCCCCCACCTCCCCCACCCCACCCTGGGCTGCAGATGACCCTGATATCACAGAATTACTGGTGAGGGGCCCCCAGCTGGGAAGACGGGCCTTGCCCTGGTGGCAGGCCAATACTGGGGATGAAGGAGTTTCTTCTTGGTTCTGGTCACTCTTCAAAGCCGGGAGGAACTGTCGCCTCCTCCCCTAATGGCCAGCCATGAATCTGTTCCATCTTTAGTGATTGATGCTGCTGCCTGGGAGTTGGTCTTTAGTTTACCCAGTCACTTTTCAATGTTCTGGGTCACAGATAGGAGTCAAACCTGCCCTGGAAAAGCTTCCAGTCTGGTGGGGATGACAGACACAGACTGGGGGCAATATATTCCTTAATGGAGGTAATACTGGGGATCCCAGGAAAGGGACCCTCAACCCAAGCTGAGGGAATCAGGGAAAGCTTCCCTGAGGAGACAGTGTTAAAACTGGGTTTTGACAGAGGAGTAGGAGTTCTCTGAGGGGCTCACCTAAGAATCTGGGGCAAAACTGGGGAGTGAGCAAGATCTACAAGAATTTAGAGAATTCCCAACAGAAGCATAGAGTACTACAGCTTGGTCCTTTTAACTCCGAGGTACGTGCCGTTAGGCCACAATCGAACCTGGGACCCTTCAGTCTGCAGGCCAACACTCTAACCACTGAGACAAACTGGCTAGGGTTCTTTCTTCTTTTTTCATGTAGGTGTTTAGTGCTCTAAGTTTCCCTCAAAGTATTGCTTTCTCTAATCCCATAAATTTTGGTTTATTTTGTTTTCATTTTCCTGCATCCCAAATCATTTTATCATTTCTCTTGGGATTTCTTCTTCTACCCATTGGTTGTTTATGAATGCATTGTTTAATTTCCATATATTTGTGAGTTTCCCAAATTTATTTCTGGTATTGATTTCTAAGTTCATTCTACTGAGGTCATTGAGGCTAAAAAAAGGTGCTTTGTATAATCTTAATCCTTTCAAATTTATTGAAAAATTTTTTAATATATATTGATTTCAAAGAGAGGGAGTGGGAGAGAGAACCATCAATGATGAGAGAGAGTTGTCATTGATCGGCTGCCTCCTGCATGCCTCCCACTGGGGACCCATCCCGAAACCCAGGCATGTGCCCTGACCGGGAATCGGATCTGGATCTCCTGGATCCTAGGTCGATGCTCAACTGCTGAGCCACGCAGGCTGGGCTTGAGAATTTTTTTGAGAATGTTCCATGTGCATTTGAGAAGAATGTATATTCTGCCATTGTTATGTGGCATATTCTACAGATGTTTGTTATTGCTGGTTGATTTATAGTGTTGTTCAAATCTTCTATCTCCTTGCTGATCTCCTGTCTAGTTGTCCTATCATGGACAGTGAGGTAGGTACTGAAGTCAACAATTAATGCTGAATTGTCAGTTTCTCTTCAATTCTGTCAGTTTTTGCTTCGTGTCTTTTGAAGTTCTGCTAGGTGTATATGTATTTATAATCATTATATCTTCTCAATGCCTGGACTCTTCCAGCTTTTGCCAGTTTTCTCCCCACTGATTTTATGGAGGGGTGGAATTTGGGGGATTTTGACTCCACCATTTTGCTGTCACTTCAACACGATATTTCTTATCACACTTGCTCTCCACAGCAGTCGTGCAAGAAATATGATGTTGTCCCCATCTTACACGGAGGAAACTTGTTTTCTCTTTTCTCTTTGTGTATCAGTTCAGCAGAGACCAACATTGCTTATTGAAGCAGGATAGTTTCTTTCTCACATTAAAGCCTCAACAAGTATAGCCGGCCTGCTCTTCAAATGCAGTAGGTCACAGGCTCCTGTGTTCTGGTGGCTCAGCTATTAAGTCACGAGTTTCGCTGCTGCAACAAAAAGACACGAAACGGCACAGCTTAAACAAGATGCAAAGTGCCATCACTTGCGTGGAAGCCTTCACAGGAGGTTGGAATTGGGGATGGCGGCTCCACAGGGTTGGGATTCGGGCTTCTGTCTTGTTCCGTCTTCCGTCTCATGGTCCAGAATGGCTGCTCGGCTTTAGCCGTCAACTTTGCATTCCCTCCGGTAGCAAGAAAGAAATGGCGCCTTTCTCTCCTTTCTAGTACTAAAGGCATGGCTTGGAAATTGTCTCCATTCACATTCCACTGGCTAGAACTTAGTCACATGACCAAACTTGGCTGCAAGGGGGCCTGGGAAATGTAGTCTTTGGCTGGGAGGTCACATGCTAGGCTGACCCTTCTGTAAATGTGGAAGAGCTGAGAGTGGACCCTGGTGCATGCATCCCTCCTGAGCCAGTTTGGCAGGAATCACAAAGCATTTTACGGTGATAAAAGGTAGCGATGATCTGAGGCCACATGGGGATGTCCCTTGTATGCCCAAGTACACGGCACATGAGGTGGCCTTGTCAGATTTGAAACCTCATGTGCTGTGTACCTAGGAGTACAAGGGACATCACTGAGCCTCATCTGCCTCACTTGCAAAATGGGCCAAATAACCTCCAGAGGTGTGGTTGTGAGGAATAAAAGAGAAAATGTGCCTAAGTGCTTGGCCTGGAGCACAGTGAGTGCTTGTGTCTAGAAAGTGGGTTATCTTTAGAATTCTCCAGTGCCTGGAGAGAAAGTCAGAGTATGCATCTTAACAATTTATTTATGTCTGTGGACCCCGAAGGCTTTTATCTCAGTGTTTGGTTGAGACCATCTTCCTTGCCCTATGTGTCTAAGTGCTCCCCCCACCCCCACTCCCTGGTCCTATTTCTCTTCCCATCCACCAAGCAGAAAACAAGTCCACCCCTGGTTTTCGGAGCAGGAGCACCAAGAATCAAAGTCACAGGCCTTTGGCCCAAAGTCATAGGCCACTGCGGGGCAGAATCAAGGTGTAACCGAGCCTCCTTCCAGTTCTAGACTTTTTTCTTGGGGTTGGGGTTTTGTTCCCACACACCTGAGACCCACCTGTCTCCCATTCTTCTGCAGAGTGGGGTGAATAGTGGATTGGTTCGTGCCAAAGACTCCATCACCAGCCTGAAGGAAAGGACCACCCGGGTTAATCAGCATGTGCAGACACTGCAGGTGTGAGGACCACCCCCCCTCAACACCTCCTCTTCCTCCAGGGCCACGTTGCTCTCTCAGGCCCCTCCACCAACTCAGTGCACCCAGAGCCCAGTTGGGGAGGTAGAGGCTCAGAAAGGAAAGTGACCTTTCCAGGCCTAGTCTTTCCCCGCCACAGGATGTCCCCTTGCGCCTTAGCTAACCTTCCTCCCTTCCATGCTCCAGAGTGAGTGTTCTGTGCTGAGCGAGAATCTAGAGAGAAGGCGGCAAGAGGCAGAAGAACTGGAAGGGTACTGTAGTCAACTCAAGGTGAGCGGCTGGGGGGCAGGAGTGGGGTGGGGAGAAGGGAGTGGACTTAGCAAGAGGGTTGGAAGGAAACTGGGGAGGAATGGAGTGGGTACACATGAGAGGGTGGGGGAGTAGAAAAGTAGCACAGGAGAGGCTGAGGGAGAAAGCCATCCCTTTAACCAAGGAAACTAGGCTCTGAAGGGGCAGACCAATACGCACAAGGCAGCTGCTGGGCTGGGGGGCAGGGGGTGTACCTTGTTATCAGGGTTGGAGCCTGTATGGAAATAGAGGGTAAGGGCTAGGAGGCAGAACCGGAATGGGAAGGCAGGGCCCCTGCCCTGGTGTCCTGACCCAGGAGAACTGCCGGAAAGTGACCCGGTCGGTGGAAGATGCTGAAATAAAAACCAACGTCCTGAAGCAGAACTCTGCCCTGCTGGAGGTAAGGGAGGGGGTCCCAGGTTCGGGAAGACGGTCAGATGCACGAGGTACTAGATTAGACTTAGGTGGAACCTTCCCACCCTACCACCACCCTGCCCCTTCATGGTCATGGTCATACTTTTCCATGCCCAGTAATATTCAGGTCCCAGAGAGAGGGATTTGTGTTGGACTTTGAGTGGGAATGTCCGTGGTGCCCATATGCCCACACATTTCCCAACAAAATGTTGGAAAAGCTCCAATTGTTCCTAAACAGGAGGGACTGGAATCTGCCACCTTGGAGGATTGGAGTGGGGGGTGGAGGGCTGGATAAGAGACAGGGAGGCAAGCATAGGAGATTAACAGAGTTGGACTTCAAATGGGAGGAATATACCCAGTAACAGCAAGTGGGAGTCCATTTAGACTCCAAGGTGGACTTCCCAATATCCTGTCCTCTACATCCATTTACTTTCCAGTCTCGGGGATTCGTTGGGTGGATCTGGGGGGTAGAGGTGGTTGTGGGAGGCAAGGGGCTAGATGCAGTAACCCTGCTCTCCTTCCCGCCCAGGAGAAGCTGCGCTACCTCCAGCAGCAGCTGCAGGATGAGACGCCTCGGAGGCAGGAAGCCCAGCTGCAAGAGCTGGAGCAGAAGCTGGAGGCCGGTCTGTCCCGGCAGGGCCTGAGCCTCCCTGCCCAGCCCTTGGGCTGCTCTGGCCCGCCAGGGAGCCCTGATGACCCCCCACGACTACGCAGCCTGGCACCAGGCAGCTGGGGAGTGGGGCCCCGGGCAGGGGAAGGCCTCATCATGAGCGAGCAGGAGGCGCAGAAGGTGTCCGCGGGCCTTGAGGAC